TATTATGTATATATAAATACACATGCATGTATATATTTAAGAAAAATATGTTATGTTTATATATTAAATATATAATATAAATTATATATTATAATGTAAATATATGTAAATATAAATATTTTCAATATATATATTAAATGTGTGTGTTTGTACATATATCATAAATATACACAGTACACACACATATTATGTAAAGAAAAACTTATTTTGGATGAATATTTCATAGGTATATTATTTTTGCTTTACACTACAGCAGGGAAATTACAATACTTCTTTCTTAATTTCTACACTTGAAAGAGATATTTTGAATCTGGACTGCATTTAAACCGCTAGCTGTCAGAAATTCATATACTGCACTTTTGATGGAAACGGCAGCAGAGCTTTTATTTTGAAGGAAAACTCCAGCTTCAGTGAAAACATGCTTACAAAAATGTGTCTCACTACAAATCTAGTGAAACGCTGTAATCATCTGCTGTGAAAATAAAGCCTAACTGGTGGCCGTTGTGTTCCCAAACGAGCGCTAAACTCACAGCACGTGAAATAAAGGAGTGGACTGCATTCATTCAGTGTGAACGAGTCGTTCTGAGACGCAGAAAACACCGGATCACGAGCTGATCGTCTGAACCAAGTGCAGCTTCGCTTTGAAACACGCAGCGCAAACAGACTTGATGCTTTCGGTCTGAGTTTGTTTGACAGATACTGTGCCAAAGCATAATGACCCAAAACACAACTTTAAACACCTTTTATGTCAGAATAAGAAGTTAAAATATATTTTAAAGAGTGCTGTCAAACGATTAATCGCATCCAAAATAAAAGTTGTTTAGATAATATGTATGTTTCATATCATCATGTGACCGCGATAATACCGAGACCGTTTTGCTATCGCGATACCACGATGTTGACAATATTGTTACATCCCTAATATGCATTGCTAAGAACCTCATTTGGACAACTTTAAAGATGATTTTCTCAATATTTAGATTTTTTTGCACCCTCAGATTCCAGATTTTCAAATAGTTGTATCTCAGCCAAATATTGTCCTATCCTAACAAACCATACATCAATGGAAAGCTTACTTATTCATGATGCATAAACCTCAGTTTCATAAAATTCATAAAGTTCTCCTACTCTTGGCCACAGGTGCCACTGCCGAGAGGACGCAGAATGCAGACTATTAAGTGTGTTGTGGTGGGCGACGGGGCGGTGGGCAAGACCTGCCTCCTCATCTCCTACACCACCAACGCCTTTCCCGAGGAGTACATCCCCACCGTGTTCGACAACTACAGCGCTCAGATGAGTGTGGACGGCCGTACGGTCAGCCTCAACCTGTGGGACACGGCGGGGCAGGAGGAGTACGACCGCCTGCGCACGCTCTCCTACCCGCAGACCAACGTCTTCATCATCTGCTTCTCCATCGGCAGCCCCTCGTCCTTCGCCAACGTGCGGCACAAGTGGCACCCCGAGGTGTCCCACCACTGCCCCAGCGTTCCCATCCTGCTGGTGGGCACCAAGCGGGACCTGCGCTCAGATGTGGAGACGCTGAAGAAGCTGAAGGAGCAGGGCCTGGCGCCCACCTCTCTCCAGCAGGGCGGCGCTCTGGCCAAGCAGATCGGCGCCGTCAAGTACATGGAGTGCTCTGCGCTGCTGCAGGAGGGAGTGCGGGAGGTGTTCGTGGAGGCCGTGCGCGCCGTGCTCTACCCCGTTACCAAAAAACACGCCAAGAAGTGTGTGCTCTTATAGTCGGCCGTGACAGAGATGAACTCGTGAACAAGCTGCGCAGCCGCTCTCGCTCTTTCTGATTTGGTTTCGCTGACTTCTTCGTCTCTCATTGCCTTGTAAATCAGTCTGTTGAAGTTGCTTGCCTGTTTTTTTTTTTTATTGTTGTTGTTGTTGATTAATAACAGTTTGTTGCCAGTAGGGGCGTGGCGATAAATCAATTAGATTCTGCGATTTTCCGAATGCATCGCGATTCTCTCTTGAATTGATTCTGATTCTTAGTTTTGAACAGCAGATGGCGCTGCGTGCTTCAGAAACAGCTAAACTCTGCTCGCTTCCAGTTCCATACTCGCACACCACTTGAACATAAAATAATCATTCATGAAGTTCTTAAAGGTTGAAGCGAATTACAGTGGGCTGTGTTTACATTAATCTCATGTCATAAAAGCTGAGGTGCAACTGCATTTAACCACTTACATGACTCAACCGAAAGCACAAGCGCTCTTCTTCGTGAGCATTTGAGTGTGCGGTTAAAAACTAGCCTAGAGCGCCATCTGCTGTTAAAAACTAAGCTCAGAATCGCGATGCATTCGGAAAATCGCGGAATCGATCCATGAATGGATTTATCGTCGCAGCCCTAGTTGCCAGGTCCACTCGATGTACGATACATTAGATCAGCGATGTCCGTGTCTGTCAGGAGCGTGTGAGCTTTCTACTGCCTTGACTCGCGGCGTCCTGTGCGTTTAGATCAATGTGCAATATAATGAAGACTGAACGAGGTCCACACATCAGACTTACGTTTACAGATATCCCAGCCAAATCTTTGATGTGCCTTCAGAATGATTTTTTAATACGCGTATTGTGTTTGATCCTTAGCTGTTCAGCGATATTTCGATAGGTTGTGTAAAATAGATTGTTTGGGTTGCACTGTGTGGATTTCATGTAGAAAACTGGGGGATATATTTTACTCCAAAATCAAAAGAAAAAATATACTTTATATAAAGAAATTAAATCTTTTTAAGGAGCATTAAGATTTTTTTTAATGCAAAAAATTTTTTTTCCCCCCCAAAGAAAGTCACTTCTCCAGCAACAATGACTGATTTTTTTTATATATATACATATATAGTACTACAAATACTGTAATGCTGTACATTTCCAGTTATATTTTACAAATGCAAAAAGTCTTAATGGTCCAAAACTAGATATTTTTAATGCTGAATATATTTCCTCAGTTGTGATTTTGGGGTTAAATATGACCCTGAAGCTTTGTTCGATTAACCCATCATCCTGAGAATCGTGCCTTATGTGCTTTTTTTTATAAAGGGCTGCGTCCCGCTGCTAAACAAAAGTGTTAGTACTGTTGTTGTGATGGCAGATTTAAGCATTGGCCCGTATCTTCCTCTTCAGAGACAATCCGGTTACTCTGCATGCCGTACTGGAGTTCACCATAAAGCCTCTAATCTGTGATTGTGCCTCGGTGTGTAGCGCTCCATGAGAGTCGCTGCTCATTTAGAGATCGTCAGCGAACACCAAAACGCTGAGGAGTCTTTCCAGTCTGAAGGCATGCTAATCCACCGGGTCCAGAGTACAACCCCTGCCAAGATCTCATCTCATTCGAAGGCGGTTGTTTGGGTTTATGTTATTGTTAACCAACGAGTTTTATTTTTGGTTGTGCATGTTCAATAAGAGGCCCGATGTTGTCTGTCATGTCACCCAACAACACTGGCCGCTGTATTTCAATATCCTTATCTCACGTACATCAGCATTTTAAGATACCAGATGATTTCCAGTGTTGCTGTTGTCATAGAGGTGTCTCTGCATCTCAGCGCAGTGAATATAACGGTCGCTGAGATGTGATGTTTTACCCGCTGGTATGTGTGTGATTTAGCTTTCAGAACTGGAAGTCGTGGTTAAACATTTTGCAAAACTGACGTGTGTGGAAACCTGTGACTAGACAGCCAATGCTTTATAACTGAAACTTAAAAAAAAAAAATGTGCTTTGTGTTTTTAACTTCTTGCTTTTTCTGAACTGTCTGCCAAACTTGGCCAAAGAGTGCCTTTGGATACAAAGAGATATGTTGTGGAGTAACTGGACTCGTGCATGTTAACATTTAACGAGTCTTAGCAATCACAGTGTTTCTGTTAAACAGTGTCTAATCATTCCTTACTTTGAATTCAGTTGCCAAACTGGATGTAAGTGCTGTGCTGTGTAAGGGAAGTGAAATCTGTGCAAAATCACTATTAGGTGTGCTGCTGGTGAACGGCGAGTGATTGTGACCGTGAACCGCTTTCAGTTTCATCTTTCAGAGTAATAGTGCGGCTTCACATGTGTGTCTATGGTATGTGGTACTACATATATATATATACACTGGGAACTCGGATTTCTGTCAAAATGACCTTTTTATAACCAAAATAAATTGTATAAATGAACTAACCGTGAAATTATTTAAAATGATGCTAAATAAATGTTGACAGTCCTTCTTTGACTCGTGTGTGTTATGATTGAAGCGCTCTGTATTTGGGATTGGTCTGTGCTCCTGACATAGACAGAGGAGTTGCATCAGAGAGCAGGACGCTGCTAAAGTGCAGCACATGTTCTTACTTAAGATTGTTTCTGCTGCTGCCGCCGTGCACAAGCCTCAACAAAGAGCTGATGCAAGCAGCTGCAGTGCACACTTCATTTCACAAGAGCATGGGGCAGGCCCGAGTCAGATGCATTGCTTTGTGCTGCTGTTTCAGAGGTTTTCACACTTCAGCTGCAAAACAGACACGCTGTGTGTGCTTCCTATTCGCATTTATTTTGGGAAATAGATTTGAGTTACATTTGGAAAGAGTACTTGTTTGGATGCATTCAATGGTTGCAATATTTCATAACTCTATTGCGCTGCACTTTATGCAATTTAGTAACTATTTTAATGTGATGGCTTCCACTAGGTGGCACCAAAGACATCTGTGCAGCAATAGACTAATTCATACAGTTTTCTGTTCAGGTAAAAAATATATAAATATAAATATTCTCTTGAGCCAGTGTTTCTGTGACTCGAGCGGTTTCACCGAGAAGCAGAATAAGATTCAGAATAAATCAACCGTGTGTTTCTCTTTATGTTCACATTTGAAAAACTAGTATTTTTAATAGGTTTTCCCTAGTAAAAAGTAATATGTTTAAAATGCATTTATTTCATGCTAGGTATAGTTCAAATCATATTTACTGACATATCGCTGAAGACTTACTGATATAGAAATTATAATTAAACTTTATTTGGAGTAGCCTACTACTCGTGCACAACCCACATTTCCTAATATTAAGCCTAAAATGAGTTTTAATGTCACTGTTGATGAGGATTGTATGATATTTGAATAATAAAGGTCTTTAAATGCAAGATATTTAAAGTATACTCGCAATAGTCCCACAATCAGATCTACTTCAGTATATCTTTAGTTGGACTTCAGCACAATTATAGTACATTAAGCACAAAATTAGTTATTCCGATCTAGCAGACTTGAACAATAGCAGTTTAGTATACTAATAGAACAATTGCAGGGTATTTTATTAAGCACATAAATATGTAAATGCATTTGTAGTATACTTAGCACGAAATAAATGTATTTCAAATACATTTTAGTATATTTTTCACTAGGGTTATTTTTGATAAAAAATCTTACTTTGAATACACAACAACACAGATATGAATAATTATTTAACAGATGCTTTTAATAACTGCAGCGTGTGCACATGAAAGTGTGACGTCAGTAATCAACAGCCAATCACATGCCGTGAAACAGGTTACCCTTCAGGTTGAAGCCAGAGACACTGGCTTAGTGCGTTAGAGATGTTTGCTCGCAGCTGATTGGTGCAGTTTGAGATCTCTTACCCAGAAGTGCAAACTAATCTAAAATATACCCGACTAGCCAGCTAAACCGGCTTCGTGGTACATGTTACAAAAAGGTCCATTCTTTTTTAGAAGGGTCTGGGGTGTGCCTTCTGTGATGTAATTTCCTGTTTTCTTTCCAATGTACAGTAACAGCTTTGTGCAACAGGCATAAATAGCAAATGTGTATTATTTTTCAAGAAATAATAAAGCATTGCTAAACATTTTTTTTTGTTATTATTTCACCTTTTTGTGTGATCACAGAATGCTAATACTACCTTAACAAATTTTCAAGCCTTCTAATATATATATATATATATATATATATATATTAGGGGTGCAACAGTTCAACTTACGGTTCGGTTTGTGTCACAGTTTTAGAGTCATGGTTCTACCATACCGTGCTATGTTTAGGGAAAAACCTACTGTCAAATAAAAACCATCATTCTTAATGCTACAATAGACCGCCACAAGTTCAAGTTTGTTAAAAGGACATAATGTGACAGATATACTGCAGGAGTGAGAGGTGATGCTCCTCTAATGAAGGACCCCAGCGAGTGGACTCATCATGCTGGGCCCCAAACACAGTTTTATTCAGAAGATGTACAAGGCCACTGATAAGCCACTCGTCTACTTCTTTGCCTTCATATTTCAAGCAGCTGGAGAGACTACAACTCTTCCTTCCCACGTAATGCTGGTGAGACACACCTTGATCAATATCACACCGTCTTCATTCATCACAGGCCCCTGCCTGAGCACGCTTTCTCCCGAGGGTTGTTCTGTTTGCTCTCTGTCACTGATGGAGGTTGGGTTGTGTGCCACTTTGGCTTGACCTGGCTGAATTGAGCTGGATGATGGAACTGTTGTCTTCTGTGGAGCTGCTTTATAGGCAGATCAAACTCATTCATAATTCACGAATTTTGCTCATTTAAGTCACGAGTAAAATTTGAATAATACATAAAACATTTGCGTATAAAACTGTTTTCTGTTCTTAACATAAGGTTTGACTTGTGCCAGAGGAAACACAGTAACAAACACTGTCATGGTATCTTGTGTTCGGATGCCTGATGTTTGGGAATACAATCGTGTGAGACCGTTATGGGAAGTCATTATACCAGATCATTTTTGATGACAGACTTTGGCTCAGGCATTTCAAAATGATTCAAATAACATTTGAGATGGTGTGTGAAGAGATCGGTGCACTGGTTAGTCCAGTCCTAGTCACATGATCTATTGAGGCAAAGTCACATGACTTTGTTTTGATGCACATCGAGGACATACAATGTGTTGCCATCATAGTTTATTTGCATGTCTTCTTATCGGATAATATATATATATATCCAACTCAGTTGAGGGCATATGTTTTTTATGCACATTTTTAGCTTTTATGCACATCTTTGCATTTCCATTCAGCATTTTTTAAGTTATATTCCAAATTTGCATACAAATAGATGCAAACATAGCTGGTTCTGTTACTTTCCTGTTTAATCCTGTGAAGCTGCTTTGAAACAATCTCTATTATATAAACCACTATAAAAGCAAAGGTGACTCGATGTCCTGAAACACATCCACACCATATTTCACCTAAAAATGTAAATCCTTCTCCTCATTAAGGTTGTGCAGTTGCTTGTTGTCTGTTGTTTTCTCATAGCAGTCCAGATGGAAGGCTTGAGTGTCGTCTGTGAATTGTTCGAGACTGCGACTGACAGACAGACAGCTGCCCTGACAAATCTGACTCGATAATAAACACTGATGCAGACCTGCTCGAGTCAACAAAGCTGTCCACGCTGCAGTCTGCAGCACAGAAAACTATCAGTGTTACTCTTATAACTAATGTCCCAACAATCCACTTACAATGAGCTGTCTACATGGCAAGTGTGTAAAAACAAACTGGAATGTTTACAGTGTATTCATAAGGCTTTCTTGCATTGTGTTGCTTGCTGTGTGAGCTGTGCCTTTATCTTGACTGCAAACTCAATTTGATCCTCTGCAGGGCAGCTTTGTGGGCATCTGTGGGACTCGACTCGAGAGAGACACAGTGCAGCCCTGCATTCAGCTTAGCTTATCCATCAAATACAGAGCAGAGGAGAGAGAGAGTCCCACATTCCCTGTGTTATAGGGACCAAATGTCCCCATAAGGACATTTTTTGAAAATCTTTGAAAATACAGTATAGAAATCATTACACCTATGGAATGAACCCATAAAATATGGAAACCTGTGTGTGTGTGTGTGTGTGTGTGTGTGTGTGTGTGTGTG